GAAGAAGCAGCTGCAATGAAGGCCAACCAATCTTTATGAGCTATGCTGATTAGTTTATGAGCTGGAATCTGAACATTTTGAAAGAGCCACAAATTCCGGGATTTCCAGAGCCACCAAAGTATGTAGGTAGTTAGTTGTATCCTTGCTTCAGAAATTTCAGACTTGTTAAGGGAGCAAACATCAAACCACCATCTTCTGAAGGAACCTGGATTTTGTTTCAAGGAATTCCAAGAGACAGGAGCTAAGTCCCAAACACTACATGCTTTAGGGCACAAGAATAGAATATGCTCTATTGACTCAGCTTCAGTACCACAAGTGCTGCAAATAACATCAATGTCAAGACCTTTCTTCCACAGTTTGGTCTTAACAGGAAGAGTCCCATTTATGCACTTCCAAATGAAGTGTTTAAGTCTACCAGCCACTTTAATTTTCCAGCATCTAGAGAGACCAACACAGGGAGTACCTGGTGAGGAGCTGCTACCTGGGATGTCCAAAGCAAGGAGTTTTTGATTTGAGAGGAAAGAATAAGTGCTGGCAACAGAGAAAAGGCCCTTCTTATCCAACTTCCAGTATAGCCTATCAGAGTGATTAGGTTTGAGAGTATTGATGGCCAGAATAGCAGAGCTGTCCCCAGGATCAAAAACTTGGTTGATTAACCAGGAATTCCAACCAGTGCCTGAGTCATTCAAGAGATCTTTCACCCACACTAGGTGATCTCTGGCCAGTTCCATCAGAGCAGGCTTAGATTTGTGGAGGTTGGGCACCCAGTTAATGTCAGAGATCTTTGTTGATTCACCATTCCTGACTTCTATAGCTAAACCTTGAGCAAAAGTAGGAACCACTGCAAGCCAGTTGGACCAAAGCCATGAGCAATTGTGAGGTTTTTTAGCATCAAAGATGGAGCAGTGAGGATAATATCTGTCTTTGAGGATTCTACTGACCAATAAGTCAGGGTTTGTAGTTATCCTCCAAAGCTGCTTACAAATGAGGGCAGTGTTGAAAAGTTTGATGTCCAGAAAGCCTAACCCACCACTGTTCCTGGGCAAAGACATAGAATCCCAGGATTTCCAATGAATTCCATTGGGTTGATCTTTCTTATTTTGCCACCAGAAGTTTGAGCATAACTTGGAAATTTGAGAACAGACAGAAGCAGGGAGTCTGAAGCAAGACATGGAGAACACTGGCAGAGCTTGGATTATTGATTTGATAAGGATTTCTTTACCAGCAGAGGATAGGAGTTTAGTTTTCCAGTTTTCAATCCTATTTTTAACAGAATCAAGAACAAAGTTAAAAGCCTCAAGTTTGGATCTGCCAATGCCAAGAGGAAGTCC